TGGACGTTGTTCTCTTGAATCTTTATTGACGAAAATGATTTTCTTCTACTAAAAGCTCAAGTCAAACTTTTGGATTGTCAATGATTTAGGTCCCGTACTTGGTCCCATGGTGTATGGATGTGCCATATCACCCCTCACCTGTGAGAATGAGCTCAAAGAGCTAGGCGTTGCTGATTCAAAGGCGCTTACGGAAGCAAGGCGTGAAGAAATTTTTGACATGATGAACAATAACGAGGCTACGAAACAGGTTGGACTTTCGAATCACTTTATTTCATTTATCAGTGAGCCTTAGGTTGTTGCTTATGCCGTGACGTGTTTGTCAGCACAGTATATCAGCACTTCTATGTTGAAAAGGAGTAAGACGTCTCTTAACGAGATATCACACAATGCTGCTATAAGCCTTATTCGGGATGCGATACAGTCGAGCGTGAATGTCGTTGAGGTCTGTTGTGAGCATAGTGTTTTATTGTTCGTGGTAATTTTTTTCACGACGCCTTGGTTTTTTTACATGCCTTCTTTCGAGCTATATCCTGCCTAGGGTTTAGCTTGTTTATCTTTCCCTATGAAATATCGATGATTTCTCTTTTTAGATCAAGGTGGACACTGTTGGACCTAAAGCAACGTATCAGTCTAAGCTCGAGAAGCTTTTCCCTGGCATCTCTATCACGGTAAGGTCTTTTCAGCTTTACCACAAACTTATCGTTTACCTATGATTTCTTTTTATTCCTTGTACTGCTTATTTGGGCAGTATTTCGTCGTTTGCACTTTTGTGTGTGACTGCAGAATATTCAGGCATGTTACCCTAAACCCAAAGTGCAGTGAAGTACAGAACCAATTGTGATGAACGGCAGTTCGACGTTGCTTTTATACCTATGGAATTTTTGTAGGTTACCGAGAAAGCTGACGCTCTGTTTCCGATCGTAAGTGCAGCATCTATCGCTGCAAAAGTAACTCGTGATCGACGATTGAGGTCATGGTCGTTTTCGGAACCAGGCGTCAAAATACCTGCAGATGGATATGGAAGCGGATATCCTGGAGGTAAATATTTAGCATCCGTAATTCTCCTCCATTTTTTACGACTCCGTGTCTTTTTAGATCCGAACACCAAGAAATTCCTGATTGATGGGTTGGATCCTGTTTTTGGTTATCCATCTCTGGTGAGATTTTCATGGAAAACAGCGGAAGTTCTCATCGATAAACATTGCGTCAAAGTTGAATGGTAGGTTTTCCTCAGTAGATATGGGTCGCATTTGCACTATTACATGTATCATTCAATATTCAGGGATGATCACAGTGCAGCTGAACCTTCAGTGAAAGGATGGCTCACCGCCAAGGTTGACTTGCCTAAAAGGCATCAGTACTATGCTGATAGAACTATACAGAACGTGGTATCCTTGTAACTAACTTTGGTTTTTCGCTCCGTTCTCATATCGTATTGTCAATTTATGGTTTTTGCGGGTTTTATAACTTTACATTCTTTCTTACCTCAGGAGCTCTGCGCACTGCCGTGTATATTTTCACCATTT